ATGCCTGTGGTGTCTTGACCTTGCTTGCTCTACTACTGTGAAGACTAGGGAGTATGTTGGCGGTGGTTGAGTATTTGGCAGACTCTGCGGTTGCTTTGGAGTTTCTTGGCACTTGGTTTTCGACTGACTGGCACGTGGTTTTAGACTGACTGGAGGGATATCTTGCTGTTTGTGTCACAAATGCTGCTGTTGTATTTGGAAATCTCACCGTGCGGTTCGAAGTACATGAAGGTGCGCACGCGTTGGGGTACTTTTTTTTCGAACGGGTAATGGTGTTGACTGTTACTTGTACTTGTTTTTTTTTTGTTGTTAATTCTGCAGTGGATGGCACCGGAAGTCTTGGCGAGCGAGAAGTATGCGGAGCCGGCAGACGTGTACAGCTTCGGCATCGTGTGCTGGGAGCTGCTGTCGCGAGCCTGTCCCTACGATGGGATGAGCCAGATTCAGGTGATATGCCCTCCCCAGCTTTTGCTGCTGTTTTTGCTGCTGCTTCTGCTGCTGCTGCTGCTCCTGCTGCTGCTGCTGCTGCTGCTGCTGCTGCTGCTGCGGCAGTCATTGGTCGTTGTTGTTGTTGGTCTGGTTGGCGTGTTGTCGTCGTTGTGGAGGTGGTGTGGTGTTACTCTTATGTCGGTGTTGGAGGTAGTGTTGCCGCGGTCGAGGTTATCTTGGTGTTGGTGTTGTGTTTGAGTTATGTTGCGAGCATCTCTGGCCCGTGCGGACCATTCCTCCCCACCCTTTCCCGCAGCGGGCCAGTGGGCTGGTACGCGATGCAAGGTGACATGGCACGTCTGCTGGCGAGGTTGAAGCGCGTACAAGGCGAAATGGGGGAGCGCGGGCGGGTGTTTGATCTCTCTTGTCCACCTGAGTTGGTCGCTGCAAGCGGCGTCATATATTCCTCCACCGGACCTTTCTCTTGCAGTTGGAAGAAGATGTCTGTCGTCCACCCCACGCACCCTGGGGTATGACCAAGACTATACGGCCATGATAAAATGTCCCTCTCTGATGGTGAGGATCGATCATCTTCCATGCTGGCGGTGTGGGTCACCCGTTGACTTGATTCGTCGAGCTTCACTTCGCAGTCGGCCTACCGACTCCTGCAGGGGCTGCTTCACATGTGCAACACGCCCACCACCGTCAAAACGCGTTATTTATTTATTTTTTTTCGCCAATCCATCGCTTTGCAGAGTCAGCCGCGGAAGAGGAGAGCCGAGCACGACAGCTGTCTGATGCCGCCCACGACCTCCCTCCCTATCCCTGTCTGTCGACCCCCCCCCCCCCCCCCCCCCCCCCCCCCCCCCCCCCCCCCCCCCCCCCCCCNTGGGTGGCTTGCCGTTTCTTTTTTTTTGTGTCGTCACTCCGGTTAGGTGGCAGTTGCGGTCCTGAACGAAAGCCTGCGACCCAACATCCCCGAATGGTGCCCTCGAGAGTTTGCGGCTCTGATCGAGGTATGTTGTGTATGCATGCATACATCCAGGTGTTTGGTTTCGAGGTGTACTACGGCGGATATGCTGGTGTTTTTGCCTTGTTTTTTCGATTCGGTTCATGTGTCAGGCATGTGTGTTGAGGCCGTGTGAGGTTGGTTGTGTTTGGAGGCACCAGCCTTGTGCCCGCCCTTTGCGAGTCAGTGGTGTGTGTGTTTTCTGTCTCCGTGCGTGCGTGTGTCTTTGATTATCATCGGCCGCTCTTACCGGCATGGATATTATCATAGCCGGAAGGGCCTCTTGACGCAATCGCCTTTTTGTATAGTTCACGAGATGCCCGCGTAGATACTTTGACGGGGAGGGGCGGTCCAGTCCAGTCCCCCGGTGGGTGAAAATACACTTGTGCGTGTGTGCCCCCTTTTTTCGCTGTTTGCTTGGTGTCGTTCCACCAGTTTACGGTAGCGATTGTCATTCCGTGTTGGTTGCTGTAGCCTTCACTATGTATTTTTATGGCGCTTCGCAGTCAAAGTGGCCAGTGCTCTGACCAATCTCGTGGCCCTCGTGGGATGTGGGTATTTGCTCGGTGCATGACCTCCCCCTCTTTCCGGTGTCGAACGATCACAAAAGATGCTGTCCTTTTCCTATTGACACGGCGAAGAAACACAACCCTCTCTCTCTCTCTCTCTCTCTCTCTCTCTCTCTCTCTCTCTCTCTCCCTCCCTCCCTCCCTCCCTCCCTCCCTC